GTAATTGCCTATGGGATCTTCCTGCTCGTCGAAGTTTTCTCTTCATCCAACTCGTCTATTTCTTTCCCAAGACCTCTTTTAGCGGAAAATCCGGACATTGTTATTGGCACGCCATTGAAAATATCCGAACAACTACTTAGAAAACATCTCTTCCTCGATGCTCTTGAGCACCTTGTTGTTGATGAAGCCGACTTGATCTTCGTTTTCGGATATGAGAAACAGATGCAGGCGATTCAGCCTTTCCTTCCAAAGAAGTCACTACAGGTAATCGACTTTATTTCCGCAGTTCCATGAAGATTATCCTGATGTCCGCCACACTGGACGAGACGACTACTTCTTTGCGCACTTTCTTCAAACTTAATGAGTGGATTCGAATCGAGTTACCTGACGAGAATATTCTTCCTTCTGAATCTCAGCTCTCACAGTACATAATTAGGTAACGTCGGGTCCAATTATTTTATTTTTGTAGTGCTGACGAGGCCTCAAAGTACGCCATCCTTATATCCATGATTCAGCTTAAGCTGATTCGTGGCAGGACAATTATTTTTACGAACTCCATAGATCGATGCTATAAGTAGGTTTCCCCTCTCATACACGTATCCCTTAGACTTAAACTTTTTCTTGAGGAGTTTGGTGTCAAGTCAGTGGTACTCAATTCTGAATTACCTGTGGCATCGAGATGTCATACCGTTCACCAATTTAACAGAGGACTCTATGACTACCTTTTGGCGACCGATGAAAGTGACAGTGGTGGAGTCACGAAACCACTTAAAAGGAATAAGTTGTGTGTGGCAGTCCTCATTTTTATTTAATGTAGCATAACTACTGAATGTCTTCTTCATTTAAACGGATTTGTTTTGACTTTGTATTCCTAGGTCTTGAAAGTTACTTAACAGTTATCTAAACGATAGTTTATTTGCACCAAAAGTATGAGCTTGGCTTTATTTGGACAACGATTTAGTCTTCCAGAAATTCGCGTCATCTCAATTCTTGCATTGATTGAGTACACTTGAGATTGTTTTTTACCAGCATAAAACCAGTGAAGGACGCCGAATATGGTGTGTCGCGTGGTATTGA